GTCGAGTGGAAAACATATTGGGCATAGTAAGGGTCTTGCGCCACGCGACGGTGGAGAAGACGAGGGTGCTTTGCTTGAAATTCTTTCATCCAGTCCTCCGCCTCCTTGTCGCTCATGTTCAGGGAGAATCGCCTCTGCATCTCCGTGCCGTCCTGCACCAGCAGCACCGTCAGCGGACTGCGAATGTCGTGGGGATTCAGCGCAAAGAACAAAGTCGAGCAACCCGAGTTTATCTGAAGAGCTCGGAAATTCCACCTGTACGAGTCCCGCTCCTCGGCAGATCCACGCACTTTCCGGGACACGGCCTGCATTTTTTCAGCGGCTGTTGCCGGAATGGGGGGGATATGAGCACACAAAAAAATATGAGTGGAGACTGTGGGGGGGGGGGGGGGGGGGGGATATCATACACACATATTAGGTGGGGGGGGGGGGGGGGGGGGGGATGGGGGGGGTGGGGGGGGGAGGGGGGGGGGGGGGGGGGGGGGGGGGGGGGGGGGGGGGGGCGGGGGGGGGGGGGGGGGGGGGGGGGGGGGGGGGGGGGGGGGGGGGGGGGGGGGGGGGGGGGGGGGGGGGGGGGGGGGGGGGGGGGGGGGGGGGGGGGGGGGGGGGGGGGGGGGGGGGGGGGGTGGGGGGGGGGGGGGGGGGGGGGGGTTCTGCCCTTCGCATTCACCTCCCATAGCGATCGCGGCGGCAACCAAACCTTCCGCTGTGATCTCGTTCACCCTTTGCATCTCATCGGGGGTTATGCCCTGAAGCCGCCGCCGGGCGTCTCCCTCATGCACGCTTCCACCTTGCTCATTTGATCTCGACGCATAAAGATGTTGACCACGGATGCGACGAACTCCAGGTCCTTCCGCCAGTAATCACAATCTGCTCGTTTAAGTAAGCACTGGATCCACTTATTGGAAGACAAGAACGATACGGTACTATCCGCCGCTTTACGTTCTGGGCATGTTTCCTGACAGTCTCCCCGAGGAAACAGCCGAACGAAGCAGGACGCCCAAAAGTTCGGCGTGCGAGCAGACAAGAACGTGGTCTCGTGCGTGATCTTCAAGGGCGCTCTGTCGTCAGACTCCGACCGCGCCCACTCTTCCAAACGTTTTCGCATCTTCTCATTCGACAGCTTCTCCAGGTCTTCGATGGCCTGGGCCATGCTCACACCGTGCATTCTCTTCTTCTCGGCGCGAGCAGATAAGCCGGCGGGGTCTAGAGCGGCCAATTCCTCATTAAACCGCTGTGCCGCCTTAAGGTTTTTGATAACCTGTGTCCACAGCTGCAGGGAGTCGACGTCTGCTAAACCGCCGTTAACGACGGCGGCGTTTTCCGCCTCCTCGGGCCCGTTCTCCTCCGTGTCGCGTTCACCTTCTTCCGTGCAGTCAGCTGGTCCTTTAGACTGCTCCGAAGCTCTTGAGCCGCTGATCGACGTCGCCGAGTCGACGAGCTCGCGCGGAACGCCCGAGGATCCACCAACGCTCGTCGCGTACGCGTCCAGCAACTCCTCGATCGACTCGTGGAGTAAGCCAGAATCCGCGCATGCGGCATGGTGTCGCGTGGCTTCCATGTGGTTCCAGCTGTTGGAGCACAACCAACGAAATGCTGCTCGAAGTCGCGCCACGGAAACTTGCAAGTCAGGATGATGCCAGATACCGTCAGCGCGGCTTCCCACGAATTGGACGATCAGAGTGTGCGCCAGGGCCATCGGCGACAGTCCGATGGCAGTCAGAGCCGCGTCGGGGCTCTGCGGGTACGCAACAACGTTCTTCTGGTGATAGCGCGGCGCCTCGTCGGCACTCGTCCTGGCGAAAGACGCCCTGTCCATCAACACGCGCTTCACGCTGACGTACACCCTCGCCAGGTTGATCACCTTGCACTCGGTGTACGTTAAGTTCGTCAGCTCTTCCGGGTCAGGACCACGCCACATGCCATTCGCGAGAGCCTCGCTGGGCATGCGCAGCCGCGGGCGGCACCGGCCGCGGCTGTCTGTGTGCGTGTTCGACAATGCTTCGGCGCACTCCTTGCACATGCTCACGCGAAGATCTCCGCCGCTGCCCTCGGGCGCATCCGTGCATACTGCGGACTTGTACAATACCCACCGATGATTCGGATCACCTGGGGTGCGCACAAGACAACATGACAACTTTCCCGGCCAACGTGGGCACGGGGGCCGAGCACGCCAGACAGCAGGAGCACGGCAGACGACTATAGCACGCAATCCACGGCAGCAGACATGATCACGGCACAGCAACACAGCACGAGTGGGCATAAGAGCACGTCAGACCACAGGAGCAGGAGCAGAAGCACCAGAGCACGGCAGACCACAGGAGCACCACGACAACAGAAGCTGGGACAACGAGACAGAGCGCCACCTGGAGAGACAACGGAGTGCTCCCGCATGTCTCTCCTCAGATTGTCTTCCCAAAGGCGCACGCGGTCGACCCAGTTCTTTGCGTCCTCCACCTTCGTGAACCCGAGCTCGTGCGGCTCCCCGCGGCTGCACGCCTCCACGCTCTCTCGCGCTTCCTGGGATCGCTCAGACACCTTGAAAAACTTTTTCAAGTACTGTTCAATGCCGAGGAGCTTGTCGACCTGCTCGTACCACGTCTCCTTGTTTTCATTCCAGAACTCTTCGGACCACGATAACCACTCCGGGCACTTGTCGCTGCTCGACGATGGGATGTGAACTCGATTCAAGTCGCACTTGGGCGTCTTTCGACAGCAGACGGCACAGGCATCATGGACGTATCGTTCGTCCGTCTGCGCATTCTTGTACTGCGCCACACAAAACCTGCCCACCTGCGGACTGACCGCGTCCAGGCCTTCTGCGCGCGCCCGTTCGAGCACTGTCCTCCGGTACGTCTGGAGAATGTCTTCGCCGTCTCGTTGATGGAGATCATGCCTGCACTCCTCGAGCAGGTGCCGTCGCTTGTCGTCGTCGTCGGAGTCACCCCACGGTTGCTTGCAGAAGCGGCAATGGTTCGGGTCCAGGTACTCGGGCGTCTCCGCGCACCTCGGCAAGGACCCGGGCTCGGGCTTTGCCAGAGCGAGGAGTACCTGCAGAGCGGGTGCGGATCGGGCGACGTCGTCGTCGAGCCTCTGCGGCCGCGGCTCGTCGGCGAGGAACTTCCTGCTCTCGTCACGGACGAGGTCTGCGAGCCTCTCCTCCCCGAAGCATTTCTGGCAAAAGTGCTGAAATACCCTGGCGCTCTGGGCTGGTTTGACACAGCATCCGATGCACTTGGAGCCAGCTGCCTTCCAGCACACGTCGCACAGCGCCGCGCTCTTCTTGAAATGCGACGAGCACACAGAGCACGTCCTCACGACTTTGGTGCAGCTCTCTGTTCCGCATTCGATCATGGACACCTGCAGCGGTTCCTTGGTGGCGGGGTCCTCGGTCCTGTAACAGAATGCGCACT